ACAGTATATGCAAGAATGCCAAGCCCATGAATGAAGATATTAGTAAGATCAACGAATTACTCTTTGCAGACGACCAGGCCTTGATGGCAGACACAGCCATGAAATTGCAACAACATCTAACATCCATGAATGAAGAATGTAAAACAAATAATATGAGAATCAACACTGAAAAGACAGAAGTAATGTCAATAGGAAAAAAGAAGACAGATCTAAACATAGCAATAGAATACAAAGGCATTAAACAGGCATCTGAGTTTAAATATCTGGGAACTACAATTACCAAAGATGGGAAATTGGATAAAGAAATTAACATTAGATGCAGTAAAGCAAACCAAGTATTGGGACAGCTAGCCCCCCTCTTACAGCATAAGACAATCCCAATCAGCACAAAGAGACATCTTATTCAAAGCATATTTATTCCAACTCTGTGCTACCAGTGCCAGACATGGTCACTCACAACAAACCATAAAAGAAAATTAGTAACCACGGAAATGAGATGTCTGAGAAGGGCTGTAGGAGTGACCATAAGAGATAAGATCAGGAATGAGATCATAAGAGAACAAGTCGGCACAGAACCAATTCTGGATTACATACAAAGACAGCAAGTGAAATGGTTTGCCCACTTAGAGAGAATGCCTTGTGACACCATACCATATAAAGCATACATGGAAAGACAAGAAGGACGTAGAGCACGGGGTAGACCAAGAACAATATGGAAGGATAACATCAGAGAAACTCTACAACAGCACGATGTGCCTATGGTCGAGGCAGCCAGAAGAGCTAGAAACAGAACCTTATATCTCCCTCGACACCCACAGCGGTAAATGAGGAAGTGAAGAAAAAGAAGAAGACAACAGCACAGCCACAGGGCGCGCTGAAACCCACTCACCCCGTTTTACTTCTTCCAACACTTGGATTTATTCCAGAGCATTGAGGTAAGAAAAGCAGGCCACCCATTTTCCTTCACCCTCCCCCAGCTATGTGTGGATATAACTCAGCACGACTCGACTGGCGGGTGCGACAACACAACTACTTAGAATAGCGCTTTAGAATATGTGAACGCTTTGTGTAAAATTTGCGCTGTTTATTGTAGCCACTTTTTTGACACACCCGCAAAAGCCACGTATACTAATGGATCGACAGTTGGATTGAGCTAGAAAACATATAGGAAACCACTAAATTCGATCAGAAAGACGGTATATGGGACTGTTCATCAATAATTTCGAAAGCCCTGACAGACAGTGTGTTGACATGAAAATTCAGCCTTGAACTTTCTGTGTATGATAGAAGTTGGTGGTTAAAAGGGTACGGCTGCGGTTAATTTCTCCACTGATCGTACGTTGCTGTCTGTGTTGACTTTTGTGTTGTCATATCCTGGTACAGTTTAAAACAGTCTTTTTACTAGGGCAAGTTGACAAATTATAGAGAAGTTATGCTAATATCAACTTCAAGGAACACATGGTAGGATCATACTCGAGAGATGATATTGAAATGAAAAGCAAAACGATGAATGTGCGGGCTTCTGATCAAATATGTATCCTACTGTCCCTATAGTCGTGTTATCTACGAGGGGAAGTCAGTAATTCACAACTTGCTGTAAAAACAATTTATTTTTACACACAGTGTCCCTTTATTTCTCAACATACTTTCCATCAACATTGCTGCCCTTGTCCTATCGTTGTATCAGTTCTCCCAAACCGGCTGCATATAACTGCGTGCTCTGTTTTCAAACCGCATTTGCACTTCACATTCAACTTTCTCGTCATTCGCTAAATGTGTCTCTCCAAGGTTGGTTTTCTGTGGACCAAATAGGTGGAAATCGCTAGGGCTAAGTTGGGACTGTAAGCCCGGAATCCATGTTTTGTCCATTTCCACTATAATTTGTCTGTGGTGGTGTCCGCCACTAAAATGTTAATATCCCCGCTTAGAATCGACTTACAGGCTTAAATGAGGTACCATTGGATTTGTAATTTTAATTTGTATCTAGCTGTCATGGTTTCATAAGTGAAATCCCAAAATATAAAACTTCACTTCAGCTCATATTTTTACCTCCATAATTGCAATTTTATGTTAATATATTTTAAATGCAATGTTTAGTTTTAATATGCATGCACACACACTCTCTGTCTTTCTCTCACACTCATACACACACTCACACACACAGAGTTTAAAGATTTTTAAAAAATTATATAATTTTTGTCATTTTGCAATTTTTATCTTTTAATAAAAATTAAACGTGAAATCCCAAAATATAAAACTTCACTTGAGCTCATATTTTTACCTCCATAATTGCAATTTTATGTTAATATATTTTAAATGCAATGTTTAGTTTTAATATGCATGCACACACACTCTCTGTCTCTCTCTCACACTCATACACACACTCACACACACAGAGTTTAAAGATTTTTAAAAAATTATATAATTTTTGTCATTTTGCAATTTTTATCTTTTAATAAAAATTAAACGACAATATATTTCCAATGTCTATATATTCACAAGGGGGAGCCGCTAGACGCTCGCCCGAGGATCGGATGGTTGTGGGTTCGATTGCTGACAGAGGCCGGACTTCTTAAAAGATGACTTTGGCTCCCAGGTCAACCCAGTCTTGAGAGGGTACCAGGTACAGCCCTGACCACATCATCCACCAATAAAATATAGGTCTAGCCCAATATACCCAATACGCCTGAAAGGCGTGGAAAAGGGTCCTTTTCTCTTTTATAAATTTATAAGGCGTATTTATTTTTCGTTTTGATCAGATTAGTTGACGTAATCTTAGAACTGCAGGGGCCTCATGGTTTTATTTAGCTCAGGGCTTCATCAAGTCTAAATCCAGCCCTGGTTACTTCACACTCGAGTCGTAGGACTCAAGAAAGCCTCGCTGCATTGACAATGAAATTAGTGAGGCATTTTTGGATCCTACAGAAAATCATGTTCATAGTAAAGAGAAAACGCAAAACACAGTTCTGAGATGTTTATGAAGTTTCGTCATATCCATTCCCCCCCCCCCCCCCCACCCCCCCCCCGCCTCTCGCAAAAAAACAGCGGAGAGAGAGAGAGAGAGAGAGAGAGAGAGAGAGCATGTTGTTGTTGTTGTTTATGCATTGTTGTTTTGAAAAACTGCAGCGTCATAATAGCTAGAACTGATTGTGGGAGCACGGCCAGTTATCGCTGCACGTCCCAGGGACAATCTGCAAGTCATTCCCTGAAAACTGGGTCAGGAGAAAGATGGTAAATAAACAAATGATAAGCGGTGTTGCCACAACTTTGTGCCTATTCTTTGTTTACCAGGTGGAGATGGTGGTGGTAGTGCATTTCGCATCTAGGAAATGTAGGTGTAGTGATTGATTTCATATGGCTAACGAGAAGAGTATTACAACACTGGGGATTTAATGAATGTATCAATCAAGAATTGCTATCACTACACTCGGAGATTTGTCCAACACATGC